TGTCTAAATGACTAACGCAAAACTCCAGCTCATTTGTCAACAATTTGTGGATCACACAAAGTGTTGTTCCATGCGGGGATTCGACCCACAACACTCAGCGCAGTAGAAAGTGGCGAGGTAAACACTTGAACCACTACGCTATCCGTGCAGTCAGTAAACTTTATTTATTTATTGGTTTTATTCTTTTACAATATTTACTGACGATTTTTAAACCGGCTATAAAATGCGAATTGGTGTTGTATCCTACATCATATGTTGGCATAATAACGATTAACCCACATAGACTTGATCCAAGGAGGAGGGTAGTCAGCAACATGATTTTTATATTGGCATTTGGTTGGGTTCCATTAATCAAAAGTGAAAAAAAACGTGCTTTTTTAAAACGACAACTTCCGCAATAGGAATATATCTTAGACTTTGCAGACATTTATATTTATAAAAGAGTTCAAACAATACCCAGACTCAGAGCAACGATTTGTGGATCACTCAAAGTGCTGTCCCGTATGGCAATCGAACCTACAACATTCAACGCAGTAGGAAGCGGAGAGATGACCGCTCAAACCACTACGCCATCCGTGCAGTGCATTATTTATAAATAATGGTAGTAAGATAACTGAAACATAGCTATACTTACTTGATAATAATCAAAGCATAGTATGTAAGAGAAAGAGTGCTCACATCTCTTGAATAGGGGGGAAATTCGGAATCATAATTATTTATCAGCGCGTCATTAGGTTAAAAATGTCAGTAAGTTTCTAGGTTTTCCCGTTCAATTCTTCGTGCGTATTCAATTAAAGTATCGATCTGAATTTTCCTCATTTATATAATTATTAACCGACTTCAAAAGGAGGAGTTTATCAATTTGGATGTTTATATATTTTTATAAGTATGTTCGTTCATAAGTCCGTCATATATAGACACATTTTCAAAAGTATTATTTTGTTCAAATTGGGTTTATTCCAAAATTGTCCTGAGTGTGGTCGCGGGTGTACGGGACGGGTTTAACGGCCAGCAGTCCGCGTGTGCCGGACGTCGCCTAAATAGGAGGGGTCCGGATCTCTTAATAACAGCAGTTCCCGAATCCCCCCTCTTACAGGCGCAGAGTGGCACACCGTGTGGTTTTAGTCAGTTCGATTCCGACACCACTCCGCCGCAAACCCCGCCGTGGTGACGAGCCGTGGGGGTTTCCACACGGTGTGCCACTCTTTCCACGGTTCTCACGGTTTCCACACGTAAACAAATAAAGTATAGCCTCGGTGCGGGTGGTATAGCCTTGACCTAGCACCCTCTCTCTACCCGTTTTTCTTATTACTATTAACCTTTTACGTATGTCCAGTCAGAAAGTTATTGTGATTGCACTCCTATGGAAAGTTAGCGTCAGACAAAAAGGCCATTTTTTTTTGCGAAAATCGCTCCCACCCTGAATCAAAGAGCCAAATAGGTAGGAAAATGAAGATTTTTTAAAAGCAATCTTGACTGGCTTTGTTTGCATATTCTGAGTAAAGTTACTTATAACAAATAGATATTTTGCGATTATGTGCAGGAAACTATCAGTATTCAGATCTACATATTAGTTTTATGTCACAATATGTATCAGTGCACGGGTCACTTTAATAAAAGCAATTCAGAACAAGGACAATTAGACATGGCTCTGAATTAAATGATCAGATTTTTCAGTAACATGAATAATCAAAATTCATTTTACAATCACATGCGATAATTTACAAGGGATAATTTCCAATTTGATCAAGAGTTGAAGTAACTGTAGTAGTGTAGTTGTCTGTAACATTGACACTTTTATTGATACATTATAAATGAAATTTATTTATGTAAGTAAATGGTGGCCAAGAGCTATGCGGCGGCTTCAAGGTAGACCACCTGCCCGATGGTCAGACGACATTGTGAGGGCGGTAGGAGAGCTATGGATCCGGCTGGCACAAAACCGCGAGGAGTAGCGTGATAGAGAAGATGCCTTTACCCAGCAGTGGGTGCAACAGGCTGCTTAGATAGATAGAAATCTTATCTTTTGTCTGGCTTTGCCGCTTTTAAAAATAACAATAATGAGATCGCAGACTGCAGTCAGATTACCATAGTACAGGCTCTGCCTAGTTTGGTATCACTAGGCTGTGTGTGTTGCCGTTATTATTACTATTACTAATTATCCTCTCTTTAATTCTCAAGCTCTCACACATCACCTCAACAGCCTTTAATAGTCCACTGCTGGACTATATATAGGCCTCTCCTTAGAAAGAAGGTTTTGGCCTGCTATACTCGCGTTGGCTAGATGGGGAGGGTATATGGTTTGCGTCAAGTTTTCCTTCTGTTGTGCTGTTGTTCTGCGTAGTTTGGCCCCTCAGTCGGCTCTTACGACACCCACGGGATGAATAGGGGTGGTGCCAATCCATATTTTTAATCCGTCACCACTCGGAAAGCTTGTCAAGCTCTGGATCGATGATAATAGTACAAAAGTGCGACCAATTTATATTTGACCAAATATGGGTGTTTAAAACGCCTCTGAGTATCTCTTCGTAGATACAGGCGTGTTTATGTGCAAAACATTCATAGCGATATAAAATACATTAGTATCATTATGTGACTTGTCAGAATGACATAATTTCACGAGAATAAAGATTAAATATCGAGAATTTGAAATGGTGTGTACGCCGATGATGTAAGCCTTGAATAATGGACAATCTGTCCAAGGTAAATTAATTGAAGGAACTTTAAATCACGATTTTTTTTTCTTTTTAAAAAGACGTCTCCCGCATTAGTTATCTATCCTGTGTCGTGGGGGACTTTACAAACATACATGAAACGGACACAAAGAACACCCAGATACTCAGAACAACAATTTGTGGACCACACAAAGTGTCGTCCCATGTGGAGATCGAACCCACAACACTCAGCGTAGTAGGAAGCGTTAAGTTAGATATTGAACAACATAAACAGCATTGGATTTAAAATTATCATCAAGTCGCAAGTGTTTTTTTTAATAAGTACTAACAACGTGTGCCACACATTGCTAGTATTTCATCAGCAGCCTAAATGCTTGTGTTAGGACTGGTTAGGACAGATTTAGCATCAGGTGACCCATCTGTTTGATTGCCCTCTATACCGAAAAGTAAAACATGAACAAAAGTCATAGTAAAACTGTCCTTCACTAAGCTTCTCACTCTATCAATCTATACATTGTAGCTAAGAATAGACAGAGGCTTTGTATACGCCTACATTTTGTTAACGGTATCCACCAACGTGGCACAGGACAAGTCTATTTAAAACTGAGCGATAGCGTCATCATTTGATTGAGTACTACAGAATATTGACTAATTTAAATCTAAACTATCTATCAAAGCTTCAACCAGGCATTTATGGTATTCTCTAGTTACATACCAGAGACTACCATAATTAGTCATTTAATATTATCGAATTCCACATACTTATTGTGAAGTTACTGTTAACTGTGCATGTGGTGATGGATTAAGAGTACGGTACGAGTGTCACAACCAACATTCTTCCCATGGGTGTCATAAGAGTCGACTAATTGAGCAAACTATGCAGGACAAGAGCACTGCAAAGAGAAGTAAAACTTGAAATAAACCCAGCGTCAGCGTGTTATAGCAGGTCAAAACCTCCTTTCTAAGGAGGGGCCCATGTCCAGCAGTGGAGTATTAAGGGCTGTTAATGACGATGATAAATGTGAAGTTTGCTATATTCAAAATTTACACGCAGAAGTTAATATCTTTAATCAATGTCATCATGTCCTGCTACGTCTGGCCCTTTTATCGATTTTATTTGGAGTTGGGGAATATAAAAAAAGAGAAAAGGGATGGTAACTCGGGCTTTCAGGTTAGTGCAAACTATAAATGGTTATCTACATACGCATGTGTGAAGCTGTGGTGAAAATGACTAGTTCATAAATCTTATTCGAAAGTATCTCGGTTTGTCTCGCTATTACGATAGATAAGTTAAATTCTGAATCGGTTCTTATTAAGTTTGTCAAAGAAGTACATCTTCTGGTAAGGATTATGGGCTACTTTCTAACAAATAATTAAAGTATGCCTACATGGTCAGAGCCGCGAACAGAAGCCACAGCATGGTACAGTACAATACTAAAACACAAAGAAATTAACCACAAAGCGGTTGATTACGACAACGAACCATGAAAATTTTAAATAAAAACCAGCGCCATTATTCCATAAATTTTAATGGCAATTTTTTGTAAAACAAACTTGTTTAATGCGGTCATTATTAATTGAGTTTTATTATTAAAGTATATTTACGATTTGGGGATAAATCAAGGAGTATGGGAAGGGAAGTTACTTTGATGTTAACCTTTTGAAATCTTTAAAAAATTTTAAGGCTATTTTTCAATTCAAAGTATACACCAAACAGTAACTTTCAACATTGATTTTTTATGTATCACGAGTAGAGCCGTTATGAAAACACAATTGACCCATAGGTCATCAGAATGTCCCCGAATTTTGCTATCAACAACCATATTTAGCAATGCTCTGACAAAAATCAAACAATTATCGCATTCGCTACATAAACGTCAAATTTGTTCCCACTTGTTTGAGATGAGTCACGGTTACGCTTGTTCAAGACAAAACAACGGTTTAACCATTGCATAGCCTTAAGTTTCATACGTTTAAGTATTGTTTGAGTACGAGTTATATACCTTGGATGCTTATTTTAGATTTACTTCGTGCCGTATCGAATAAACACCATCGATATCAACACTAGTGTGGCACATATCACACACCGCTATTTATACCCTGACTGAGCAGCAACACAACGCAAAAATCATAAAAATGTAATGTAAGATTGTCTGATACAGTAAGGCTGAAATTTATAAAGCGTACTTAGACTTTGCTCAGACTTTGCTTACGCTAAACTTACTTAAGTTCCTGCTCAGTGTAATCTTAGCATTCGAATTTATAGTCCTCTTGGGCTAAGAATTTACTGAGTGTATGCTAAGCAAGATCTCAGGAAAAAAATTTAAACGTTTCGATTTGCATAGCATATTAATTTAAATTCTTGGTATTTCAAAAATATATTATTTTTAAAATAGCTGTAATAACCTAAAATATTAGTAATCTTATAAATTTTATCATATTATTGTATTTCAATCAATTAACACCTTTAGTTTTCATTGATTTTAAGTGATAAAAGGCAAAAATAACACATGTACAAGTAAAACAAAACGTACGTATATTTGACTTGTCAAATGTCATAACAATATTTGAGGTTGTCTCGTCTCGAGTTCATTCGCAAATATATTAATTTCTTGTATTAACTTTTTATCTTGACCCTGGCACACCCTTACGGACTTCTGTTACAACGCTTTCGAACTAGATTACGGCTTTTCTTCCTGGACAATCGAACCATCTTTTCACATTGACTCTGGCATATTAATCGTAAGTAATCGCTAAGTCATGGATTTTGGTGACTTAGACTATGCTAAGCATTTGCTCAGCTCGAGCTAAGCATTATGACTATAAATTTCAACGCACACTTAACTCGTGAGGTAAGTCTGAGCAAAGTCTAAGTACGCTTTATAAATTTCAGCCTAAGAGTTATTGGATTACAGTGGAGGTTGGAAAAAACGTAAAGAAAAAGAAGAGAGAAGGGAAACTGCGAAAGTTTGACATATTGGTAGGAAAGGTATTATAAAAGGTTTAATTTAATTATAATTTTTATACTTAATTTGAGTGTAAAAGGTTTAGTAACAATAACAAAATGTTATTAAGTTTTTTTTGTTTTGTAAGCTGTGTTATATTTTTATTATGCTGTAATTATTTGGATCACTGATTATTCCGAAAAGTTGCAGGAGGAATATGATGTATTTAAATGGTTACTATCAAATGTTAAGCCTATTATGCTGATAAAGAATGATTACTACAGGTTACAAAAGGTTTGTCCGTAGAAAGGTAAAAAAATATATGTACAAAAAGCTTTTATTAAAAAATATTAATATTAACGACTAACTGAACACAAGTACTGGCCACTACGTCCGATCACATTGGAGTATTTTCACTATAAATTATAGAAATACTTCTGATGCAGATTAAAAATATACAGAGGATTTAGGTCCCGTTTGGATTAGGCAGTTTATTTCAGAGTGTTTATAGTACATATTTAAACCGATACAGGCACAACCTTCTTAGCAATTCTAAGGTTCATATTTACCTACTAACTTTTACTAGTATTTTATTACAGGTGGGCTATCGTTATATCAAAACGCGTTTACTACATAGAAACTTTTCACAAATTACCTCCTTAATACTCTTAAAGCTACACATTTACTGTTTATTTAAATAAACAATAGTTTAAAGGCCGCTGAGTAAATTAATTTGTAAACAATTGAATGTTTGTTAGAAATAAATTGCCTAATAGAAACGTGACCTAATGTAAATTTAAATAAGATCGAGTTTAGTATATTCCTGCGTCGGCATCGTAGCTGCTTTTATTACTGTCATACATGCCTGAAAAACAAACACAGTAATTAAATACATTTTATTGTCATATTCATAGAGTATTCCCACAAAACGTCATTCATATATTTGTAATATTAATGCATAAAAAGCATGCGGTCTCAGAACTTGTATGTAAGTAACATTGTTCGATTCCATTCGAATACTGTAATCGAATAGATTGTAAAATTCACATTCTAAACTTTTTGTGTTCACTATACATAGGTAACCACTTTCATCATACAACACAATCAGTAACTCTTTCATAATAATACTGGTATCGATTGAAGTTGAAGAAGAAAGAAGAAGGCATATGACTTGAGAAAAACTGTATTCAATATTTAAATAAACTAGTAACCATATAGTGACGGATTAAGAATACGGACTGACACATGTCCCATATTCATCCCGTGGGTGTCGTAAGAGCCTACTAAGGGAGCAAACTACGCAGGACAACAGTAATGCAAAGAGAAGGAAAACTTGACACACAACCCTATACGAAGCCGTTTGGCTAGCGTGGTATAGTAGGCCAAAACCTCATTTCTTAGGAAAAGCCTATGCCCAGCAGTGGACTATAAAAGGGTGTTGATGTTATGTGAACCATTCTCATTTCCGTACCTCGAGACCTGTCCGTAAGTTGCAAACTCTTCAAGATTTCTGAAGGGATTGGCGGTGGAGTGGGTAGGTGAGCGCCATCAGCCCGGTACCCGTTCTCATCAGCCGTGTAAGTCACTGTGTACTCCTGGCCATCGTCGCCAATGTACGTATATGATCCAGACACCGAGAGAGAGCCTTCTTCGGGTTGAGCTCCGGGGAATACACGACCTGGAAGTTTAGAGATTTTAAAATAATGTAGTGTTTTATTAAATTATAATAATAAAATAAAAAGGAAATGGCAGGTAGATACAGTTAAAACTATACCCATTGTCATATCTACAACTAGTGTAGTCCCGAAGACTCTTCAAGATAGCCTCAACACTCTGCAAATGGTAAACAATGGGGAATGGTAGGACAGTGCTATGGTAATCAGACTGCTGATAAACATACTAATATATTTTTAAATTCATACATATTACGAGTATAGATAAATTACACCCAGGCGCAGAACAAATGACCGTGCTCATCACACAGTTTTTGTTCTGGATGGGAATTAAACCCACGACCTCCAGCTTAGCAGTCAGGGTCACTAACCGCTAGACTAACAGACCAACTGTCTTGTATTTTCTGTTTTATTATTTGACACTCATAATAGATATAAATAATATAATATATGTTTTACAAAATATAAGCCTTGATAAAAAGAAAAGTAGTGGTAGGTTATAATGCATATTTAAAAAAATATAATAATGCTGGACAGTTTTTGTTTGAACTTTGTTTTCTTTTAATCAGTTTTTTTTGCCGCTAAGTTTTGGGCTATGTAACATCAAGTCACGGCCCTTAGGAGCTGAGCAGTGACCATTAACGGAATGAAAAAACGGGAAACAGCTATTAACTTAACTATTAACTTAACATATATATATATATATATATATATTTACATTAGGTAATCTTCAAAATCCTTACATTAAGTCTATTCATTATTATTGCAAAACTGATTATTTTTTAATAAGAACCAGTTACAATTGGTAATTTGAGATTGACATACCGTTATCATATCATCGTTATGTTTGGAAAAAGATCAAAAGTGCCTGTGTGAATTATTTTAGCTAAGAACGTTATCCACGCATGAAACTATAAGTGTTCATTAGATTAGGCGCTTAAGTTAACCACATTGCTTTTACTAGTTCTAGTATGTCACATACATTATCGTTAATGGCTTATGATTATGGAAGACCAAGAGCTTTACAAAATGATTTTATATTTTATCAGCCATTAACAGACCTTCATAAATAAAAAAGAGTTTACAGCAAATAAGTGCGAGGAAAGTTCTTGAGTGGAGACCACATCTCGGCAAACGTAGTATGTGCTAGGCCAGGTGGAGTGACGATTTGCGTAAGATGGCTGGCAGGAGCTGGATGCGAGTAGCCTTAAACCGATTTAAGTGGCGGGCAATGGAGATACCCATGTTCAGCAGTGGACTGCGATAGGCTGATGATGGTGATGATGATGAAGTGTGAGGATGTAGTATTTTTTATTTATTATAAGTTTAAGAAAAGATTACAACACTCAATTAGTATTGTGAAAAGAACTCGAGATTAAGTGCCCCGTTATAAGTAAAAAAAAAAAAAACATGTATTCAAAATTAACAATGTACTACCGGATATCCAAGGGTAGTTGAACTTTCTGGTAATATACCTATACAAAGAGTACCATCACAAATTGAATGTAACCTTGTTAATTCCTATCGCTGAGAAAGTATACATCGTGTAGATTTAGACCTTGCTAGAGAGAGGAAAACCACGCATACACGTAGGTAGGTGATCACCGATTGATTCAATAGTAATGTAGAGCAAGTAGTAGTTGTAGTTAGAGCTAATTCAACGTAGTGATTTCTGATGATAAATAGGTCTCAATGTTCCTTAATTTCAATTCTTTTATTGCAGCATTTTTTTCTTCAAATATCAATGGCACCAAATGGGTATCCAAATAAGAAAGCTTTGCCCAAATCTGTTAATAAGTGACGGATTCCAATGGCAACAAAGATAAAAAAATACAAGCAAATTAAGAACCTTCTTCTTTATGTCATCATCATCGTCATCAACAACAGCCTTTAATAGTCCACTGCTGGACTTAGGCTTCTCCTTAGACAGGAGGTTTTGGCCTATTATACCATGCTGTGCAGTCTAGTTGGTATAGGGGCTGTGTTAACAATGTTGACAACCCACTCCGGAGTTGAGGTAGTGAGCGTTACCCATAGTACTCCATACAAAGAATACTAACCGCTCGAGGCGAAGCGGTGCTGGTCGGATGTCGGATGGTTCTAATGAGCCATGACCTTAAAATCCGTCACCAAGCATCTTTTTTTGTATACGTTTAAAAAAAGGATTATAACAATGCTACATTTTCCTTAATGAAATGTTACTATGTATGTAAACGACGCAGCATTTTAAATTTCTTGCTCTGTAGGTAATCTTTTCGTACGTGCTTAAGCAAAATTTATCACGCTTTGTTTTTGAACCGCAGATTTATATACCGCAATAATGTGGTATATGTATCACATTTTATTTTACCTCTTGTGAAACTAACATTTGGTTTTGTTAATAATTCTTGTGAAGTAACGGCTCATGCCTATATAACGATGCGTGAACACTGTAATAGAGCAAGAGCCCGTGAACCCCAGACCTTCGTTATTTTATAAAAGCTGAAAGTTTGTCAGCGCATGCTCCCAACACGGGTAAGAACGATGGACCATTATGAAGTTTGGGTTATCGTGGCTTCGGCAGGTAAACGGTACTAAAGGTGTGTAAAATACATTTACAATTCATCAAATAATAAAGTGTGATTTTTTGGTATTACCTTCAGAATATTACTAAAAATCACGTTATTGCATGCCAGACACTTAACATAGTGGCAACCCCTTGCCAGACACCCTTAATGTTCATAAAATTATAATTCTACTTATGTTATAGTATAAAAGCTGATTTTTATATATAATACTTAGGTAATAATTAGATGATGTTTCCTCTTTAGCCAGACATTTTTGATAGTTCCAACCCCTTGCCAGACAAGCATGTAGGGTAGCTGTAGGAGCGAGCGCGAGACAGTATTTGTATGGGTGGGTGCGTTTCAAAATTTTAAACAAGCTCTGGTGGATTTTTTGATTTTGCATTGGGCCAGTGATGAAATAATACCTTTTATTGGAAATAAAACTATTCACATAAATTCTAAACAGTGCCATTCTTTAGTTGTTAATGCTTCTAGCAATGTAGTAACAAGGGTTGTAGAAGAGTTATCATGTCCAAAACATGAAGAGGCTGATACCAAAATAGTCTATCGTGCGTGCAGTATTCCAAATCAAGTAAATATTGTGATCAGAAGTGTCGACACTGACATTGCAGCTATCATGCTTGGTCATATGCACCATCTACAAAATGATTCACTTATTTGGATGTTGATAGGTACTGGGAATAACTTGAGATACGTAAACCTCACAGATATTTACGTAAAGTTAGGAAAATCTTTTTGCAAGAGCTTACCAGGATTCCATGCGATCACAGGTTGTGATTATAATCCTGGATTTTTCCGAAAAGGGAAGTTGAGGCCTTTTAAAATATAAAAAAAACGGAAGAGTATCAAAAAGCTTTCATTAAATTTGGTAAACATGAATTATTCGAAAATAATAATGAACAACAAAGCACTTTTGATATTATTCAACGGTTTATATGTGAGGTATACAATGTCGGTTCGATAACTGATGTTGATGCATATCAGGTCTCAGATATTAATGAAGCGTTTAGCCGTAAAAAGCTACAAAACTTTGATGCTAGCAGTCTGCCACCGTGTAAATCCGAGCTGCTACAACAATTTCTGCGAGCCAACTATTATAACATTTGGAATAATGCAAATCAGCAAATTCCAACAATTTATCAACCCGAGAATAATGGTTGGGTTCTCGAAGATAATCAGTACCATTTTTAATGGTTTTAAGTTTTTTTGGTTACACTTTATTATTTGATGAATTGTAAATGTATTTTACACACCTTTAGTACCGTTTACCTGCCGAAGCCACGATAACCCAAACTTCATAATGGTCCATCGTTCTTACCCGTGTTGGGAGCATGCGCTGACAAACTTTCAGCTTTTATAAAATAACGAAGGTCTGGGGTTCACGGGCTCTTAGACTATAATGGTTATTAAAATTTTAGAGTTAAAAGGTCAGGAACCTCATATTTTACATAAAACCTACGTAAGTACTTCTTATTTCGGGGATGCGCAGTTTGTTTCGAGGCCTTAACTATAATATTATAATAATAAAACTCTAATATGGTTTACAAAATATTAAATCAAAGTATTTAACTGTACAGAGAGCTATATGTATCTTTTCAAACCTAAAATAAAATCATAAAAGTACTGCCCGGTTCTTTTATGGTTTAAAATTGTGGTACAGTTTATAAAACATAGTTACTTTTGGAAATTGTATCTGTTTGATGATTCCTTTGTAAGAGTATTACACAAAAGTAAAATAACTGTTAAATTAATTGACGCTTTACTGTGAGTAACTTTTTACCGTTAGAGAACCATCCTGTGGCACAAATGGGCCAGCTCGATAGTACTAATACCACGACCTCACAGAAAACCAGTGTTAAGTGGTTTTTTCATAGCTTTTGACCGGGTGTGCGAGGTTACCGGAGTTGAAATCCCAACTCAGGTCAGGTGACCCGTCTGCTCGTTCGCCGTTTGTTTGAACACAATCATCAAAAACAATAGGTATGCATAAAGATAGCACAGGCACAGATGGTTAGTAAGAGATAAAGATAAAAGACATAAAAATGAGCTTCACTTTAAATTAGCTGGTGTGAAGCCATGCCGTTTTGCTTAACATAATTCAAAATGTCCGACAGCTGCGTGTCTATAATTGAATTTTTATTGCTCTATTACATCAAATAACATAAAATTTGTTTTTAATTACAAACTGGCGTGCAAAGACTTGGTCAAATTTGAAGATTACATCTGGTTCGACCTTTGACAATTCGTATATTTTAGTTAGAAAATAAGTCTCATAGGCGCCATTCGAACAAAGCGTAGAGAATCTAAAATTTTTAATTTTACAATCACTTGTATGTGTATAGCAAGTATATTGTCTATTTAAATGATAAATTACATATTTATTTTAATAGTTATATATATTAATTTGCCCGTGTGGTGACGGATTAAGAATACGGATT